CTTGAGTCAAGATAAAAACAATTTTCTTGACTCTTTTGTGAGCTGATTTATTGGCTCTCCAGCTCCATCCAGGTAGCCCTGATTCTGCAGGTTTTAGGCCCCTGGTGTGACAAATGAAAACTGTGATCTTGGCTCAGTATGGCTCATGCCAACATGCAACATAATTAGGGGCTAGGACCACTCATAGATGCCATAGGAGATGCCATCATATACCTCTGACCCTCCTTGGGAAGCCAGTTTCCCTGCGGTGGACAAACTGTATTTTCAGAAGTCGAACAACACCTGTTCTAGAAGACAATGACTACGCAGTGTTTTCCCACAGTATATACAACAGCAGCCACCCAAAATGACCCCTCCCAGTCAAACGTCCAGCCACTGGAGTGACCCCCTCCTTCTCCTGGGCGTGCATATTTTTTTACTCTGACTCCAGCCTTTCCCTGAATCACAGGGTCTGACTAGGAAAAAGCACTTCTCTTTAGATCTTAATGTTTGCAAATCATGACAGACAGAATATTTTTGTTCAAATTTTGATGTTTAAAAAAGTAATCTTAGGGGATCAGCCAAGGACCAGGCAAGGGCCCAATAGGGAAAGCGGGGACATTTTAAATGGCTGCAACTGTAAGGACACAGGACTGTGTCTTTTCCCCTTAAGAGAGGCAATTTTCCAAGTCCTCAGAGACAATTTAAGCATCCCTGCAACAGAAAGGCTCCATCACTGACTGCTGCCCTCTCCTCCTCCCACCAGTCTCTCATGGTTCCCACTTGGGTGCCCACTTGGGGATGGCTTCATGTAATTTTTTCGAGTTTAGCCCAACCAGCTCCCATTAGGGTGACTGACCAACAGGTGCCTGGCCTGGCTTCAGGGTAATATCTCAGATTTCTTTAGCTTGGGTAGCTAAGTTTAAAATAAATTAAATATTAATTGGAGATAATGATACACTATCACTGTATTACTACCACTCCTCACTGTGGCTTTTCTCTTTAGAAAGGTAAAGAAAAAACAGTTATCATTATGTGAACATGTTCTTCACATTAATCCGTAAACCATGCTGTGGGTGTTTGTAGTGTCAAGGTAACGCTCACAAGGTGCAAAGTCAAACATTTGTACCTGCTGGAGCAGACATATTTATACTGTTAGAGCTGTGGGTAGATACAGGGAAAGCTGCTGATTTAAGATTTTAAAGATAAATAAATTACATTTGGAAGGGAAATCTTTCATAACAGATTTATGTGAAATATGGTCAATGACCTATTACTACAGCAGATTTTTCTGTTGCTTTCATTAACCCTGATGTGGCACCATTTGAGCCAAAACACATTTTTTCACTGCATGATTATTATGCCAACCCTCATTAATAACCCAACCCTGGCTTCAGTTTCAGTTTTCTCTAAAACAGAGATTATAAAGAAATCCTTAACAGTGCAACTGACAGAACCATAATTTGTTAAAGGAAAAGTCCGGTCAGCAAGGAATATTTAATGGATCATTATCTATACCTAAAACTAATAAGTTTGCAGTGATTTAACGAATTTAGCATTAATTAGTAAAAAAATAAAAATAATAATTTTCGTCGCGATCACAGAGTCTGGGACCGCCCATTTTTGCCAAAATATAGTAACAACATACTCCTGACATCTTCCTGCAGTGACGTCACAGTCCTGTCTTCAGTAAAACACACTCAAATGAAAGAAAAAAAAAATAATAAAAAAAAAAATTATAAAAATATATA